CCCCCAAAGTCTATCACAAAGCCAACCCTAAAGGCTAATCCAACCCTATATAAACCCTATGATCCCTATGCCGTAACCCTCTCACCCCTAAACAACCCTGAAGCCTTATAACACATCCCACTGCAGTGTCAGGCACGCCCCGAAGAGAAGACAAGCGAAGAGCTGACCACCTCAGAGCCGCAGGATGGCTCGGGTTTTTAGGGGCTTTGGGGTTAACTGGGGTTGAGGGGTGCAGGGCTGCCTCCGTCACTATGTTACCCGGGTTTGTCAAGATTCGTTTCCTTGTCTCAGTTTCGAATGCCCATGATGACTCAGGGCTGCTCTGTGCTCAAGTTGACAGGTGCAGGTTGTAGCTCGGCTTTGCCCCTCAGCCGTTCCTGGCATGTCAGATTTGGAAGGGCTCGATGTTTCGTCGCCTGCACCCGTGGATCAGACTGATTCGTCGTCGGCCTCCGAGGGTGCTCAGCACGAGGTTCTGGAGTCCCTTCCGATTCAAGACCGAGTTGGCCACATCGAACGGCTCTTGTTCGAGCATCGTGACACTGCAGACCGCCAGTGGCGAGAGAAGGCCAACAGATTGCAGGAGCAGCTGGACGATGTTTCTGACAGAGTGCTGTGGACCGTGGAGCCGGATTTGAGCAAGTTGTGGTGCTCGGTTCTCGATCAACTCCGGTTGATTCGTGAGGTCAAGGAAGAGCTTCGCGAAGCTAGGGCCTGGCAAAAGAAAGAGTTTGCATCACTGGCAGAACAGCTTCGTGCAGTTCAGTGTGACGTCCAGTTGTTGATGGACACCCGATGGCCAAGGACACCACCTGCAGCTGGAGCCCCAAGGACACCAATTGCAGCTCGAGCCCGCTCCAGGAGCCGCTAGGGCTCAGTTTTTCATTGTGCATAAGACATGCGCAGAGCGCAGGACAACGCTGTACAGACAAAAGCCCATGCTTCTTGCAGTCGGTTCAGAGTCTGTTGTGTTTGGGGCTTCATGTCGGCGATTTGTCCCTCTCTTATCTTTGTTGGGGTTGATCGGGGCTTGTATAGGGATCCTAGCACTTATGCTCCTAAATGTATATATATTCCCACTTTGTAGGGTTCTCTGTAACCCTCGATCAACTATCTGCTCCCCAGGAAAACTCTGGCCCAAACCGAACCCTATAAATTTTGGAAGCCGATGCTCCTTTCTACAAAAGCTTGGAGTATGAGACACTTGTTAGGATGACTTGGACCCCGGCCAAAACATGTGCTTACACCTGTGCAGGTTACAACAGACAAGCACGGGTCCGAGGAAGACACAGATGACGAGGAGGGAGACGGCGAAGAACAGGAGGACGAGGAAGAGGAGTACGAGGAACAGGATGACGAGGAACAGGAGGATGAGGAACAAGATGACAAGGAACAGGAGGACGAACAGGAGAAGCAAGCTGCTAGCAAGGCGGACCGTCCAGCAGCCAAGCCAAAGCCTACCCCAAGCCCGAAGGTTGACGTCCCTCGCCACGACATGAATGACACCGCCTGCACTGCGAACCCGGAAGAGGCCCTTGAAAGTATGCTTTCTTGACATATCATAAATATTATTCTTTGCGCGCCCAAATCCTGAACGCGACACGACGCAGGAGAGACCGTGTGCGGGATCCATTCTGGATATGCTGACAAATGGCCCTCCAGTTTCCGTGAAAGGCTCAGTGAGTGAATGGGTTCTGCACTACAGAGAAATGTTTTGATGCAGTCCATCCTGACGAGGAACGGGAGAAGAAACTCCTAGCCTTCATTGCCAACTTGATGACTACCAGGGCCCCATGGAGCCCCGGCTCGGAGGACATCTGTGGTGAGTATGTGCAGTCTGTTGTTCGGGGAATATAAACTAGAAGCTCCCGAAACCCCCAAATCCATTAAACCCCACTATAAAGAGCCCTTAGTAGTGTAGGGTCCCAAATTTGGGGGGGGGGTTCTACTTTCTAGATCCTTCTGAAAGTCTGGGCAGAAGGGCTCCTAGAAAGCTGCCAGAGATCCCCGGCCTCGACCACAAACACCGAGTGCTTCCCGAGAAAGCTGGACTCAGCCTTCGATGGAAGGTTAGGGGTTTGGGGTTTAGGGGTCTATAGGGTTTAGGGTGGGTTTAGGGTTTATACGGGGCTTCCAGAAGTGTCTTGAGGTTTATAGGGTGTATATATGGGTGTATAATGGGTTTGCTTCAGGGTTTGGAATAGTGGGTTCTATAAGGTACATATGTCCAATAAAAAGGCTAGGGTGGTCATACTTAATATTCAGGGGTGAGAAAACTCTCTATAAACCCAAGAACCCCCCAAATCTTTTTTCTGTACTATGCAGGGTGCAGCTTTTGGGGTGCAGTAGTTGTTGGTGAGTTTGGGGTTTTCGGCACTGGCTTCAGGCGCAGGTGTTCAAACCCGATCACCCTAAACCCTATAAATCCCTGAACCCCGACGCTTAAGTACGGAAGCCCTATAATCGAACCATTAACTATCATTGAAGGAGCCGGCTCCAAAGCGTTTCAAGCCAGAAGTTCATCGTACAGACTCAAGAACATCTTTGGGGTCGCTTTCCACCCTTGCGACTAGCAGCCCCGGTCCTTTGACTTCGACAAGATCAGAGGCGAGCCCAAGCCAGACCCCGCCTCCGCCGGCAGCCCGAGCAGCCCCTGCTCGCCCGACCTCGGCAAAGCCCAGTGCAAAGCCCAGTCAGGAGTCTGTGCAAGCAGGGTTTGCCCAGAATGATCGCGAGCTTCGCCGTAAGAATGAGAAGGAGCCGGCAGGGACAGTGGATGCAGGCAGTGACAGCAGCTCTGAGGGAGAGGACGCTGAAGCCTATAAAAAGCTGTACAACAGGATGGAAGCCAAGTTGCGGCGAATGTGCACGGTAAAGCAAACAGGCAAGTGCGATGCCGACAAAAGCCTCTTGAAGCAGTGGAAAGAGAAAGGCCACAGCAGAACGCAGCTGGTCAAGCTGATGATTGAAGCAGATGGACACAGGGAGCTGCAGTGCTGATGTTGTGCCGTATGTATATATACTAGTCAGTATCGTGTTGATCTGTAAAATACCGCACATTTGCAAGGAGCTCTTCAACCACAAGCTCAAGCTTTACCGCAAGACCGAACAATTCCGGAACTGTTCGACGAAAGGAGGCTACTACTCCGAGGCTGAAATGAAAAAGCCCGTCTCGGAGGGTGGGTTAGCCTACAAAGAGTCATTCGGCCAAATAGACTCAACTCGCCCTGATTGGTAGGTGTAGATTCAATAGTTTTGATAGGAGTTATATAGCCAAGGTCCAAGGTGAAGAAGATTGTCAAGTACTGCGAAGAACATGGACTGACACGGTGCCCTTGCTGGAATGTTCCACAGTGACTGTGCCGCTCCCTGTGACTGCATTGCTGAGGACAAACAAGTACGACACGACCGAAACCGAGTACTGGGTTGACTACAGGACAGAGGGTGTGAGGGGTGTCAACGAGGTTGACGGCATGGAAGAGACGGGCACTGGGCTCACCGACGGCTTCGTGGCACCGGAGCTGGACGAGTGCCCCATGCCTTCGAATCCTCAGCCAGAGGATCTTCCGCTTGGGCTTCACATGGAGCAGGGCAAGAAGGCCGAGCTTCTGTCGTGACTTCTATAGACTTACTGATGTTGGTGTAAGGTTTGAAATTTCTTATAAGCTTCCTGTTGCAATGTCCCCAGGGCATGGCTGCTTTGACAAAGATGCTGGAAGAGGCCGCGGCCACTAGAAAGAAGCTGTCAAAGTTCATCCAGAAGCACTGCGAGCAAACCACGACAAAGTGCAAACCTCATTGTGCTGCCTTTCCTGTGTCCTATGCAAGGATTTCTGCTGTGCTTCCTGTGTCGGCTGCATACTGAGATGTAAGCTACAAGCTCCTCGCACGCCGAGGGAGATCGAGAAGATGAACAAGGTTGTGGATGATTTGGGCGATGCCTATGACGACTTGGCTCCGCTACAAGCCGAAGCAAAGGTGAATGGCTTCGATGCCGGGTGCCTTGCAGATGCAAACAAGGAAAGTATGCTATCTGGGTCGGGTGTTGTAGGGATGATAAACCATATGTTCTTACCCTATAAAGCCCCCCCCCCCTGAAGCCCTATTATAAAACCCTCTTGTGGCCTTCTGGTTTGTATATGTATGTGCAAAAAGTAACCCCAAAGTCATCACGCTTGAAAGCCCCATGCTGAACCCTGCAGTCCCTTTATAAAGCCGCCCAACATGCCAATCCCCAAACCCAAGAGCCCTCTAAGAACCGTTCCAAGCCAAATAATTCCTCCCGATAAGGCTTCAGAAGAAGTGCGAGGACAAGTACAAAGACATCAAGAAATTGTGACTTTGTACCGCAATTCTTTGCAGGGATAGGATCTGCTTGTGCGAGGACCCGAGCTTGCTATCCACATAAGGTGTGTTTTGGCTGTCTCTTTCGAGCTGAAGAACAGGTGTCGCAACCACGCCAAAGTTGTGTCTGACAGATCTACCTAAGTTCTATATATGAACTCACGATCCCCTGTGAGGGGAGCCAAGCGGGTGCTAAAGATCGATGACCACAAAGTCGAGCAGCTGAAGGCCAAGCCGGAAAACAAGGCCAAGCCTGGTCCGGTGCCTGGGAAGCGGCCAAAGGCTAAGGCTAAGGCCAAGGCCAAGGGGACATGGAAAAAGGTCTCCAAGTGATGCCGAGGATGCTAGTTGCTAGGTGGGACTGTAAAGTTGTATAGCTGCAGGGCATCTACAGACGGTTCGATGGGCATCCGGCATCCTTGACAAATCTGTTTGGGGAGTAGCATTTTAAGGCTACAGTACAGAAGGAGTGTGCGAGTGTTCGTTTCGACACTGCATGCTCCCGACCGCAAATCGCAAGGGACGCTGATGGGTTGCAAAATGTGCTGCTGTTGTACGAAACTGAATTGCCTGGCACAGCCTGCACCTCTCCCTCGCCCTTGAAGAAGCCGATTTCAATGCCAGGTGCCCGTGCTTCACACAAAGCTCGCAGCATGGTGAAAGCTTATGCGCGG